CTGGCATCCCAAGCCAGCTCTTAACCACTCGGCCGGCCCCAAATTTGCTTTCTTAAGTGGAGCTTAAAATATACTTAAAGCTGTTGTGCCTAGATTCTATGTCAGATGTCATACTAGCATACGTCATGTATGATATCCTTTGCTTACTAATTCATTTCTTCATTTACTTAAAAATATTTATTAGTACCAAGTGCCAAGAATTACTTTAAGTACTTGGGATATATCCGTGAATTAAATGGACAAAAATCAGGGAATTTACATTTTTGTAGGCATAGTTGTAACAATAAACATGAAAGTAAGCAGGCGTTTATTATGGATAGGGAAAAAATATTATAACTACCCTTTTAAATCATGCTAAGGAAAATTACATAGAAAGCTGGGTGTTTTTTAGCTGGGCTTGTTTTTGCCAATCCCATTTTTAGATACTACTAAGAACAATAAAATTTGGGGGAAATATTCTCCAAAAACAGAGTTAAAATGATGCTATTAATTAACAACATGACCATGTTGCTCCTACAATAACTTATTGTTTTTTACAACTCATGTAATATCAATTGTGCTGTAAAATGTCGGAATTTAATTCTTGGTGATTTTGATGGTGATTTATAAAAACCTAAAGTACTTTGTATAACAGAATTTATATTTCTATTCAGTTTATATTATACTTTTGCTGGCTTTGAATATTTATAACTTGTAATTCTAAGTAAAATGTTACAGCACATCTTTTTATTATTATTTAAATGATTCTTGTTTAGAAAACTGTTTACCTTTCTTTTGTCACAGTTGTCTTTCTAAGTTATTTTGCTACGAAGGGACAGAAAAAAATTTTAATGTTTTGTTGAGATAGCTTGGAATTAACTAGGATATATTTTCAGCATATGGTATGATAGCGCTTGACAATGTTGGATATGTTATCACAAACAGTATTATTAACTCAAATGTTAATACTTCTTTAGTTGACTTACTGAACTAAATCCATTCCTTAGACCATTAGAGTGGATTCATTTTTTAAATTTGCTTCAATCAGGAAGCCTGAGTGTCTGCATTTTTTCTATATAATATAAAAAGTAGACCTCACATTAACTGAATCTTTTACTTGAGACATTGAATAGACTAATTATTCTTACGTTTTAGTGAATAGATAGGGGTACCCGAGATTAGAGGAGTAGGGTTTTAGAAAGGATTTTGAGAAAGAGACAGAATGAACAGTGGCCAATAAAAAGAGTGTTCTTGATAGACATAAGAATAACTTTTAAAGCAACACAGAAAACACCAAGTTTTCATTTGGATTATTGCTTTTTTATTTGATTTTCAAACAATTCTCAGGACAATTTTTTTCATTCTGTGTTTTAGCTAGTGTGAATCAGTAACAATGAGGAAAATATTGTAGGAATAAATGGTAAGGAAGTAGAATGTTTCTAGGATTTCATTGAAGAGATTTTCTTCTCTGTTAATACCTAGTCGTTTAAAAACAATTGAGATTTGAAGTCCAAAAGTAGAAAAATAGCAGATCTGAACTCTAATTTTTCAAGCGTCTTTTCCAACTTTTCTATCTAGCCTTTAATAACTGTTTAATTAGTGGTCAAGTCCCCATCATTGAGTCTTGTATATAGAAACTATTTCTTTTCAGTCTCCTCTTTTACAATGAACTCTGTGCTTGGAGATAAGACTTCTGTTATATAGCCCTGGAATTATTAAATGGTATTAATATTGTATCTTTTCCTGTGAATTTTCTCTTTGAGGAGAAAATTGTTTTGTTTTCAAAGGGAATTCTAAGCCTAATGATAGAGAACAAATGAAACTCATAACCAAGCCTGAGAAAGCATGTGCATTTGTAGTTTAAGATGCACAGTAACTAAGATTTAACTGGTATTAGACTTCTATTGCAATTGTTGGTATTTTTTAATAAATTTGAGGAAGGATTAATCTAGCCTTACCCATATGAACCTTTGCTTATGAAATTTGGAGTGCTTGCCAACTGCTTAATGGCTGTGATAACCTTTGGTTGGCTAATAGGCATGTCATTTTTAGAATTTATCCTAAAAGTGACAATTTGCCTGTCACCTGCAGAGTTAAGTGATAATAATGGCAGCCAAGCAATGAAATGGAGGGGAATGGAATTGAGATCTTGTAGGAATGAATTCACTTATAAAAACAACATTTCTTTTTGAGATAATGGAAACATTAGGTCAAAATATGTAGCTGGATATTTTTTGTTTTGGTTTTGATTGATTATTCAAAGATACAGTCTTTTAATCTTCATATATGAGCTGTTACACAATGATGTAAAAAAGAAAGGTGATGATTGGGCCAGCCAAGTGGTGCATTGGTTACGAGTTGGCTTGGGACACCAGTTCTGAGCAGCAGGGCCCTGGTTTGGATCCCACATGAGGGCCAGTGACGCTGCGCCCTCTGCAGCTAAGATGGTGAACAACAGCTCGACCTGGAGCTGGGAGGCTGTGAGTTGCCATCGACGGCGTAGACTGCAGTGCAGCTGGCCAGCAGCGGGCGTGAGCTTTCGAGAGCTGCCATGAACCGCCAGGAGCAGCCATCCAATGGCCAGTGAGCTACTCCCTCACCCGAGAAGAGTGCAATGATAATATCAACATGGGCTAGTGAAGCGATGTCCTCCACAACTAGACTGAAGAACAAAAGGACAGCCACTTGTCTGTTCCCCGCCCCCAAATCCCCAATAAAACCTTAAAAAAAAAAAAGAAAAAAAAAGAAAGGTGATGATGGTGCTTCTTTCAGGCTTAGAGCTAATTAATTTATCAGGTAGAGCCCTGGTATATGTGGTAGATTTAATATGCGGACTTGAAACTTTTGGATTTTAGTTGTTATTAGGCAGTTGGGTCATTTGCCAGCCTGTTGGCCAGCCAACACCAGTGTGTTTCCTTTAACTCCATGAATCTGAGCATGTGCTTATCCTACATAATTTAAATATCTCTCTTACTCTTTCCACAGCATGTAGAGTCCATGAAGCACAGGATAACAAAGCTTCCTACTCGCACCACCAGAGGATCTCTTTGAAAGATTCACCACAGGACTACCAGAGACAGTAATTTGTCTGAAGCATCATGTGTTGAAACAACAGAAGGCTATACCTTTGCACTAACAGGAAATAGAGTTAAAATGTTTTCAATTCTTTGAGCTCCAGGACGCCGGGGAAGTGAGTTGAAAATCTGAAAATGCGGCCATGGACTGGTTCCTGGCGTTGGATTATGCTCATTCTTTTTGCCTGGGGAACCTTGCTGTTTTATATAGGTGGTCATTTGGTACGAGATAATGACCACCCTGATCACTCTAGCCGAGAACTGTCCAAGATCCTGGCAAAGCTTGAGCGCTTAAAACAGCAAAATGAAGACTTGAGGCGAATGGCTGAATCTCTCCGGTAGGTTCTAAAAAGCTGAAAGAAGAGTGATGAAATATTGTACTTTGTTTTTAGTTGCAGAGTTTCATCCAGTTATTAAAAAATACTTAATGATTTTTTTTTTGCAAAAATTTAAATATCTTAATAAGATACTTTTTATACCAATGATATCTCTATATTTAACATAGAGAATTTCTCCATAGTGGCAAATCTTATTCTGCATATGAATTTTAATAAAGAAAAACTGTGACATTTGATTTATGTACTTATATTTCATTCATAATTATCTCCAGCATTTTGATAATTTTGATACATTAAATATAAACTATATGATTTAAATTAGTATATATTAAATTTTGTATCATATGGACTATAACATAAGCATTATAATAATTGAGAGGCTGAGTTAGTCTTCACTATAACATTAAAATGAAGAAACAAAAATTAATCCTTAAATAAGATAACTGGATCTGGAATCTAGAGAATTATTATCATTACTACTTTTAGTCTATTAAAAATGTGATCGGTATCTATTAGAAGGCATCAACTGTTTGGAAAAACAAAGTTTTGTATTTTCAGGGAGCAAGTGAACATAGTATTACACAGATAATCTGTATTTGTGTTCAAAGTTTTTGAGTTTAAAAGTTACCTAATATCTTCTGTTTCCTCCAATATATATATGAAAGTAATCATGTATTTAGTGTTTGCTGTATCTCAAGATAGAGGTTGAAGATGAAGAGTTGAGCCATTATTCTAGAGGTGGTAATTCACCTTAAGGGAAGTAACATAGAGAAAAAGAGCACAAAGTTTATTTCATTTTGAGAAAACAAATTTAGGATGTGGAAAGAGGAGACATATTGTTGTGTATAGAACCTTCAGAGTAGGTGGAAAGGGGAGGGGGAGAGGGCCATGTTGTGGAAGCTGAGGAACATAGTGTGAAGGAAGGATGTAGTTGGTAGTATCACATACCCTTGAGACTTTAGAGAGGACATCATGGTCCTCCCAGCTCCCTACCCCCACTGACCATCACTCTTTCTTTAAAACCCAGGCTTTTTTCCCCTTATTTAGTTACACAACTTTTTCCTTCACTATAATATTGTTTTTGGTCTTTTTATGTTCTATAGAAGATAAAGCTGGGTGCTAAGAGTTTTACAACAATGAATGAAAGGTCATCTCTGTCATTTGTATTATAATAATAGTACCATTCAGCAGGATACAAAGTAGTCAGGGATTAGAAGGTGGACAGAAAATGAATTTGTAAATCATTTTATTTCCTTATTGGGGAGCCAGGGAGGATTGTGGATAAGGTACTCTTTCAGGAGAGTCTTACTCAGTTATTTGTTATGGGAACCAAAGATTGACCATTTATGAGTTAGTAATAATAGCTATCATTTATTGAGAGTTTATCATATGCAAGGTACTGTGCCAAGGACTTGGCATAGATTATCTCATATCCCACAACTTCCTTATGAGTTGCTGGTACTGTTTTATAACCATTTTACAGATGAGGAATGAAAGGTATATTAAGTAATTTAATTTTTCACAAAGTCACACTTTTCATAAGTGGTGGTGCTTACTTTGAATCCTGGTAGTATGATTCGAAAGCCTAGGCTCTGATGAATTGTATTAACTCTCTGAATACAAACTAGAGAGAAGTCAGTAATTCAAAATACTCAATTGAAAGTTTGATGTACAAGATCACCAAGAGTTGCTGCTGCTCTCGGTGACTTTGAAATATGCTTTGATTACAGTAAAATCTTGTTCTACATCATAGGAATTTTGCTCCTCGAAAAAGATTTTTCCTCTTAACAATTCAGGCTCATAAGTAATTGCTCACTTTTCTCCCAATTCCAACTTCAGTACTGGTACTTCGCTTATTTCTGACTGCCAAAGTATCTTATCTTTATTGTGTGAAGGAAAGCTTGACTTTAATATGGTTTGTTTTGTTTTTTGTTTAGTATAAGAAGGCAGAATTGGAAGTTTTTAACTATCACTGTCATGTCGGCTTCATGAACTGATACAGTGAATCTATTAGGAGAAAGAGATCAAGATGATATTTAGCTAGATTGAGCTTGATGTGCTAGCTGAACCTATCCGGAAGAAAATTGGAAAGTGAGTCTAGAGCTCAGGGGAAAAGCCAGGATGAGAGAGAAAGATACCTTTGGGAATCATCCACCTAGACATGATTGCCAGAAAATGTGCTGTGTGCACAAAGTAAAAATTCCTCCACTCATTTTAGATGACCCATAGTTGTAATGCAGAGGAGGAAGTGTGGGAATAGCATTTACACACTTTTACTTGCAGGGCCAGCAACAATCTCACATGGAAAGAAAATTCATTTTTTCGATGAATTCGCTCCTACTAAAATAAACTGCACTTGTTTTATGGCTGTAGCAATTGGTTATGCGGCACAGAAGTGTAGGATCACACATATTTTTCCACATTATTGTCATTAGTAGCTTTTATGGGGGCAGAACATTAGTAGGAAAACAGCATATTGAGAATGTATTTCTGTTTTCATTATCATTTATTGTTATCTTAATTTTCCTGTTTGTACCCAGAGATAGATACACACACACACACACACACACACACACACACACACACACACACACANACACACACACACACACACACACACACACACACACACACACACACACAACACTGGGATGTAATATTGTATCCTCCCTTTTCATGTGCACTAAAAAGTGTAACACCACTTAAACTCAATATATAAAAATGTAATAGTTTTTGAAAAGTAGCAAACAGTGAATTTGAATTTAAAATATAACAACCCACTTTGCCTATAGTCTTGCGAGTATTTTGTAAAGCCAGGTCCACCACTGTACAGACACAATGAATGGCCTATACTCCTATTCATAAGAGAGCTACAAGTCATAATTTCTTGGTTTCTCAATGTTTTATGTGATATTTCATTGACTGGGTGTTGAATTGCAGTGGGAAATGATTTAAGCCAAGATGTTAGCTCTGCTTTTACTCCTAGCATCTTGGTGATTTTAACAACAACAACAATAAACAACATCAGCAGCAGGAGCAGCAAAACAACAAAACAGTAGTAGCTGTAAATATGGATTACTATGTATTGAGCCATGATCTAAGCATTTTATATATTATTAACCTCTACAACAGGCCTATGACTTAAGTACCCACATTATCCCCATTTTATAGATGTAGACAATGAAGCATAGTTAAATAGTTTGCTGATATTTATATACCTGTAAATGGTAGATTGGGAATTCAAATCCAGACACTCAGGCTCCATAATACAAACTGTTAATCACGTTGCTATGGTGCCTGTAAAGGTAACTGCTATGTCACAAGAAAAGTGCCACGATCCTTTTTTTTCTAACATCCTTTGCTTGTTGTATGTGTGGGTCCAGAAGACTAGTTCATGGGCCATAATGGACACCTTCTTTCTGTCAGATTCCTTTTCTCCCCATTTACCATTGAACGGACTTCAGAATAAGGAAAATTATCAAAGATAAAGAAGACGCATTGCATAATGATAAAGAGTAAGTTCTCTAAGAAGACATACCAGTTCTTAAAATGTATGCACCTACCAACAGAGCATCAAATTCATGAAGCAAAATATACGAGGCAAGGAGAAATATATAAATGAACTATTTTAGCTAGAGACTTCAACACCTCTCTTTCAGTAATAGATCAAGCAGGCAGAAAATCAGTAAGGATATTGTTGACCTGTACAGCATTTTAGCAATCAACTTCACCTAATTGACATTTATAGAATACTCTATTCAACAACAGCAAAATACACGTTTGCTATCCCTCCTATTCTGATGTACTCTCTGTAATTCGGATGGGGGTGTTTCCTTTAAAATTTCCTGTAAGATGTCATGTCATAATGAACAGGGAAGTCTGTGTATTTAGAGTTGGGGTAAAGGGTAAGGATTGGATTGTAGAAATTTCTTATTATTTATAGGGTCAGCTGGAAGTCCAACCTGTAGAGAAAAATTCCTTTTTGTCTTCATTCCCAGCTCTGCCCACTCTCTACTTCCAACAAAGATGGTTTAATAAAAGTCAGCTATGTGGAATGTAGGGCAAGATCATGCTTTCTTATTAGGAGTCATAATCACTTTTCTCATTCATATTAATATACTCATATATAATGGCAGAATCACCACCAAGCAGATAAAATTAGAGTAAATTAACTTCCAGTATTTGGAAAATAGTACATGTATAAAATTTCTGGAGCTAGTTATAGGATTTTGAAGATCAAATAGAGTCAAGTAGAATTTTTATAGTTCCTAAATAAAAAAATGTAAACCATTAATATTATAAATGTTATAATAATATTATAGACCATTGATAGGAAATTGCAAAGCATAATGAAAGGCACTGGATAAATTGTGGTGTTATAAAGGAGTCAAGTTTGGTGATTCATTTTTTTAATTATTTAGGCTTCTTAGAACTAGTTAAAAAACAAAATTCATCCAATTAATTATATGTAGCCTCTTAAACAGGTGTATTAGTTATCTATTGCTGTGCAACAAATTACCACAAGCTTAGTGGTAGAAAACAACACACATTTATTTTCTCAGTTTACGTGGATCAGGAGTCCATGCACAGCTTAACCGGTACCTCTGCTTTGGGGTCTTTCACATATCTGTAGAAGGTGTTGGCTAGGTCTGGGGTTTCATCTCAAGGCTTAGCTGGGGCAAGATCATATGGTTGTTGACAGATTTCACTTCCTTTCACGTTGTTAGACTGAGAGCCTCAGTTTCTTGTGGTCTGTCTGTTGGAGGCTTCCCTTAGTTCTTTCCAAGTGGTTCTCTCCTTCAGGCAGATCACAACATAGTAATTTACCTCATCAGAGGCAGCAAGAGAGAGAATCTGCTATCAAGATGAAGTTGCAGTTTTTTGTAACACAGTTACAGAAGTTACATCCCATCATCTTTCCTGTATTCAGTTGGTTAGAGCAAATCACAGGCCCCACCCACGCTCAGGGAGGAGGTTTCTCAAGGGCTTGATTACCTGGA